GGGGGGGAGGTTGAATAAAAAAAGGGTGACATTTATTTCCACAGTTCAATAAAAAAAAAAATACGGTTGTATGCCTCATCGCCGAAGGCAAGATCACCGAAAGCTCAGATCGCCGAAACTCACGCCGAAACGAACATTATCGAAAATTCAGATCGCCGAAATAAAAAAATCATCGAAATAGGGATCGCCGATATAAATTCATCGAAATCAAGATCGCCGAATATCTTTCGGCCATCGAAGCTGATGAACTTCCTTTTGCTTCTATAAAATGCTAAGTGAAGTTAGTGACTAACTTGGCTGCGTTCCTAAGTCAAGTTAGTGACTAACTTGGCTGCATTCCTAAGTCAAGTTAGTCACTAACTTGACTGATACCCTAAGTTAAGTTAGTCAGTAACTTGATTGAGGTCCTATGTCGATCAGTAAATACCAGTGGCAATAGTAGCATTATATTTCTTATATTACAAATATCATTGATGACTATTACCGAATGTGATATCGCCGATAATGAGGTCACCGAAATAGCTGATTGTCGATAGTAAGATCGCCGAAACAGTAGTTCGCCGAAATACAATTCGCCGAGCTTCGGCGATCTATATTTCGGCGATGTCGGTTTCGGCGATGAGCATACTGACCTGGGTGTGGGTGTGGGTGTGGGCGTGGGTGTGGGTGTGGGCGTGGGTGGGTATGGGTGTGGATCTTCTTTTCTTCCCTACCCACATCCAAAACAACCACACCCACACCCACCCACCCACACACACACACCCACACACACACACCCACACCCACCCACACCCACACCCTTTGCGCGTGATTTCGTTTCTTTTCCTCAGCAGATGATGCTTCAATTCACTTTTTTCTATTATTCAAGCGTCAATGCATGAGTTATTAACCAAGAACATGCGATTTGCATGAAATAAAAGTCTTCGTAGGGAAACTTTGTTCCTGAAAGGGTTTTCCAGAAACTTTCTGGGTTTTTAAAAATCTCCTGAGGATGTCAGAAGTATTTGCATCGAATTCTCCATATTTTTTTAACCTACTTGACATTATTTTTATTATATTTGAATCGAAAATGAGTAAGTTAGTTAAAAACAACCTGGCCGATTTTCTCTCGGTTCCAGTAAAAGTCGATTTTCTCAGCAAGGAAAAGGAATTTAAAAAAAAGCTCTCCGTACTTTTGAAGCTGGTTTCTTGGCCGATTTAATGGTTTATGAATCAAAGGTATAGCCCTTCACTGGAAAAACTAGATAGGCTTACAAAATGAATGATGCTCTATTTGACACCCGCCAGTTTCAATATCCATGGCGGACGAGTGTTTACCTTTAAAATGAACTGAAGACCTTTTTCTAAATCAGTTTTCAACGCTGATTTAGAAAAAAATAGCTTCAACCTTCCATCTTGTAATAAAACTTCAAAAACGTTAATTCTACGATAAAGGTAATTTTTTTCGATTTTTTAGACCCTTGCAGTATTTTAGGTTTTTCTCCATGAAAAAAGGATTTTTAAAGGTTTTAAAGGTGATATTCGTGATCAGCTCAACAAGATGAATCAGAATATGTATGACAAATTGAAAAATAAAATCCACTCGAATTTTGCATTAGCTGCACCTTACAACTCATAAGTATTGCACAATACGGTAGACATTTTAAAATTACATGCGAAAGAGACTCTATAGAGAGTATGATAAAGTATAATAAACCCATTTGTCGTCATTTTTTTCTTTCTGTACGCGTTTCTCTTCAATTTCATCATTTTCCTTTTCTCCTTACATCATAGATATATTAAGTATGCTTCGATTAAAGTCTAGGAAATGACATGAGTAACTCTCAGGTGCCGATGTTGATTATGTTTAATTCATATGTAAGGTTGATGTCCATGGAAGGATAACATCATTTTGTCATATATCTTATGATCTGTTCGCGTGATTTTTCCAGTATATTATTTTGTACTATAAAATTTCATTCAGAAAAGCATTCTCGCTTATGTCAAGTTAACACGAGCTTTATTTTTTTAATGCAAAAAACAGTTGAAGTAAACATAACCATTGGATATATTTATTTTTTTCTGACCTTTAAAAGATACAAAATTTCAACTATAACTTCTATCAGTAACTTATCTTTTTGTAATTGAAGTAACCTTTGCTTAATATTTTATTATTGAAATAGAATTATTGCTGTGTATTAAATATACTTTGAACGAGCAATGACATTTGAATACGATTTACAACAAAATCTAAGAAGATAGATGTTAATAAGAAAAACAAGTGTCTGAAGTTCAAAAGAGTATGACGTTGTTTAGACATTTTTTTATCAACGATGTTTCTGACATCAATTATTTTAGTTCTAATGTTTCTAATAACTTTCATTTAACAATCCGGATCAGTCATAAATAATCGTAAGATAAAAAGAGTTCAAAGTTCTTCACTTTCATCAGCTCGAAGAAGTTGTCATTTCAATAAATATGAAAAATGTATGGAAAAAAATTTTTCTTGTTTTTTTATAACAAGAAAACAAGTTGACGGTTCGTGTCATACTAAAGAGATATCATCTATTGTTAAATAAAATCATATTGAATAGTAGTATTTGCTTATCACATATGTGTGAGAAAAAAAAATAGTTTAAATCTAGTTCAATTACTAACTAAAAAATATGCTCATTTAATGATATTGACATGAATGTATTTCATTTATTTTCTTTTATATTACTATTAATGACTTACACTGTGTGACAACTTTCGATCCACAGTTGAAAGGCCTTAATATTTAATCTTCTCAGCATGCTTGAATTTATAAAATTAAAAATTCTTTCTACATTCTGCTCTGTCAAAAGCATTTCTAAAACATAGCATTTTTCTGATTAACAGAAAAATCTGTTAAGAAAAATTAAAAAAAAAACAAGATTTCTTTTTACGAAGAGTGTCTATTGATGCGACCGTTTATTACTTTCAAAAGTGAGTGAAAGAGTAGTATATATCTTACACAGTATATGTCGTTATCTTCTGTAACGAATAAGAAAGTCGTATTACTAAAATTGAACTCGTAAAGAAAAAGTCAATATTATATTTATTTATCATGTCATTATCATCATCACAAGTGATTCTTACTATTTCTCAATATTATACTATTTATAGTAGTTTCATTCTTTTATTTTCTGGTATTTTTGGACATACTGCTATCATTTTTGTATTAGCTCATCTCAAAAGTTTCCGCGGTAATCCATCTGCTTTTTATCTGATTACAGAATCGATTGTTGATTTGCTGGAAATAATAATTTTATTAACATCTCGTATTGCAATGTATGGTTTTGGTAATGATCTAACACAGATATCATTATTTTGGTGTCGATTAAGAGCGTTATTTGTACAATCTTTTACTCTTATTTCATTTAGTATTGTTTGTTTTGCTGCTATTGATCAATATTTATCAACAAGTTATTATCCATTTTTAAGACAAAAAAGTACAATAAAATTAGCTAAACTACTTACTATTATTGCAATAATAATATGTATCTTACATGGTATACCAGTGCTGTTTCTATTTGAAATTCATTCAACCTATGGATGTTATGCATATAATGTTATTTTCTTTAATTATATTACATATTTCTATTATCTTATACTCACTGGTGCTTTACCAATTATTATTTCAACAATTTTTAGTGTATTAGCTTATCAAAATGTTCGTCATATTGTACGACGACATATGTCAATGAGTCGACGAAAATTTGATCAACAATTGACAGCAATGATTCTTATTCGAGTTGGATTTTTAGTCATTATGACATTACCGTATGTTTTACAACGTATTTATACACTTAGTACGCCCATCACTAATAGCAATATAATGTCTCAAGCCATTGTACAACTTATTGCAACTATTACTACTTCATTTTATTTTCTTAACTATACAGTAAGTTAAAATTATAGATTTATTTATCATTTATCTCGATCATTTTTTAGGGTTCGTTTTATTTATTTTTAATATCATCCAAACGATTTCGTCGACAAGTAAAACATGTTTTTATACACAAATATTGGCGAATATATTGTAGAAAAAGAATACGTCAAAATCAAGTTGGCGTATTGTCACAATGTTCTATTAGTGAAAATGATTTACAATCAGTTCATTGATGCAGAATAGATGAATATGGGTGCGTGAGAGTCAATTTAAGCTGAACCCACACTATCGTTTCATTCTGTTGGATATGAATAATAAAATAAAATGATAGACAGCTTAGTTTCTTACAAAAGTATTTCTAGACGAGATAGAAGTTTTTATAAGAAATCTTGAAAATTGTTAATCATTATACTATTGAGATGGTTTCACGAGTGGTAGATTTGCGGAAATACGACAATCAATATCAGAATAATTATAATCTATAGTATATGTATCTTCAATATCATCATTTTTATACCAATAAATTTTATCAACATATTTAGCAATTATTGTAATATTGAAAAAAATACTTATATTCGTCACATATAGATAAGTATATTGTTACAAAGATCAATACTATCAAATAATTTTGATCGATTTTCAACTTGAAGATATAAACCTAGCGTTTCTGTGTGCGACATTCGTCGAAGCATTGGAACTATCTGTTGGTAACAATGAAGTCAAAAAAAATGTTGTCAAATTAAGTAGATTATTCTACAAAATAAAAACATTTTTCAAGCAATTATTCTCTCATTTATTATCAATGTTCAATGATAAAGCTTCAATACATATAATATCAATATATGTTGAAAGGAAGCGGTCGTCATTAAGAAAAATGATGTTTTATTATTTTGAATATAGATCAATTTGGTAATGATTGTGTAATACGATTTTTTTTACTTTCACGAAGAATTTTGATTAGACAAAGATGAAAGAATACATGTTGCAAAAAAAATTTTACAATCGTCTATTGTCAATGAATAGTATGGTGGTATTAAAAAATGTCATAATTTAAGAATTAAGATTATGAATTCGATTATCATATTATAGAATTTGATGAATACAAATTTTCCATTTTGTTCTTTTCAAAACAAAGGCATATGGGCACATCATTATTTTGAGCAAGGTTTTTGTAACAATACTATAGTATTGCATAGCATACAAATCATATGTTATATCAGAAGAATATCAAATTGTGATACTTTAGATTGATGATCGTACTACTAGTTGAATTAATTTTCTGGAATTAAAGACATCAATGGGTATTATGATTTGGTGCGAAAATGTCTTAGGATTAAAACATTTACACTCTGACATAGGACAATTATACATCATCATACTGCATATTCATCCACAGTAGAGGAAAGGTAAAATGACGTATGGAGATGACGAAATGTCTCTGGACTGTTTCTATTGTTACACTAAACTTACCCTCCTGTATAGTCAATCATTCGATACAATCTATCCTTGAATGGTATGTCGAAGACAAAGAGAGTATTTCTATAGTTTGCAGTATATATACGAATATGAGTAAGCAAGTAAATTATGTTTTAAATATCATAAAACAAAGGCAACAAGAAAATAGTCAGAAATCATATGAGATGCAATGAAAAATTTTTAGCAAATCAAGAAATGAAAAACACATATGCCGATAGTTAACATGATGAGACAAGTCGTCAATCAAAAATGACCAAACAATTGCGTATACTACCACAAAACTTTATCAAAAACAACCCATTTGCTTAATTTCCTAACTTTATTCGATGATTTTCTTTAGATTTTTTTTTAATTATGAACTGATCTGATAAAAACAAGGTTTCACATCCTTGATCAATAAATTGCTTCTTAGTCATTTTATCTCAGCCTTTGATCTAATCTTCGCTAAAAACTGTTTAAACCAGCGTGCTTAATGACTTATATAATGNGTGCGTGAGAGTCAATTTAAGTTTAACCCCCACTATCGTTTCATTCTGTTGGATATGAATAATAAAATAAAATGATAGACAGCTTAGTTTTTTACAAAAGTATTTCTAGACGAGATAGAAGTTTTTATAAGTAATCTTGAAAATTGTTAATCATTATACTATTGATATGGTTTCACGAGTGGTAGATTTGTGAAAATACGACAATCAATATCAGAATAATTATCATCTATAGTATATGTATCTTCAATATCATCATTTTTATACCAATAAAGTTTATCAACATATTTAGCAATTGTTGTAATATTGAAAAAAATACTTATATTCGTCACATATAGATAAGTATATTGTTACAAAGATCAATACTATCAAATAATTTTGATCGATTTTCAACTTGAAGATACAAACCTAGCTTTTCTGTGTTCGACATTCGTCGAAGCATTGGAACTATCTGTTGGTAATAATGAAGTCAAAAAAAAATGTTATCAAATTAAGTAGATTATTCAAGAAAATAAAAACTTTTTTCAAACAGTTATTCTCTCACTTATTATCAATGTTCAATGATAAAGCTTCAATACATATATAATATCAAAATATGTTGAAAGGAAGCGGTCGTCATTGAGAAAAATGATGTTTTATTATTTTGAATATCGATCAGTTTGGTAACGATTGTGTAATACGATTTTTTTTTTACTTTTACGAAGAATTTTGATTAGACAACGATGAAAGAATACATGTTTGCAAAAAAATTTTTACAATCGTCTATTGTCAATGAATAGTATGGTGGTATTAAAAAATGTCATCATTTAAGAATTAAGATTATGAATTCGATTATCATATTATAGAATTTGATGAATACAAATTTTCCATTTTGTTCTTTTCAAAACAAAGGCATACGGGCACATCATTATTTTGAGCAAGGTTTTTGTAACAATACTATAGTATTGCATAGCATACAAATCATACGTTATATCAGAAGAATATCAAATTGTGATACTTTAGATTGATGATCGTACTACTAGTTGAATTAATTTTCTGGAATTAAAGACATCAATGGGTATTATGATTTGGTGCGAAAATGTCTTAAGATTAAAACATTTACACTCTGACATAGGACAATTATACATAATCATACTGCATATTCATCCACAGTAGAGGAAAGGTAAAATGACGTATGAAGATGACGAAATGTCTCTGGACTGTTTCTATCGTTACACTAAACTTACCCTCCTTTATAGTCAATCATTCGATACAATCTATCCTTGAATGGTATGTCGAAGACAAAGAGAGTATTTCTATAGTTTGCAGTATATATACGATTATGAGTAAGCGAGTAAATTATGTTTTAAATATCATAAAACAAAGGCAACAAGAAAATAGTCAGAAATCATATGAAACGAAATGAAAAATTTTTAGCAAATCAATAAATGAAAAACACATTTACCGATAGTTAATATAATGAGACAAATCGTCAATCAAAAATGACCAAACAATAGCGTATACTACCACAATACTTTATCAAAAACAACCCATTTGCTTAATTTCCTAACTTTATTCTATGATTTTCTTTAGATTTTTTTTAAAATTATGAACTGATCTGATAAAAACAAGGTTTCACATTCTTGATCAATAAATTGCTTCTTAGTCATTTTATCTCATCCTTTGATCTAATCTTCGCTAAAAACTGTTTAAAAAAGGGTGCTTAATGACTTATATAATGCATAGGAGTATTGAACTCAAGCCTGGACAAACTGATTAAACTTGATGATAGACAGCTTTCAGATGAAAAAACCTATAGGATAATCAGATTGAACTATATTATTTTTTTCATTATTTTAGTTTTCATGATCAATGATCGATTAAGAATAATCGAAGTAAAACAAAAAAGAGGCAAGCATTGATCTCATTTATTTATCAAGTGGTAATTTCTCGTCTTTTTTCTGTTCTTTTCGAAATAAAAGTAGAAATGCAACACTGATGACAAATGCCATAATCGAGAGGGATGCATACATCCCAATCAATTTGGGATCGATCGGCAGTGGTAGAAGTGCGAAACTCAGAGCACTACCGATCGCGGTGGTGAAGAGGAAAAGTGATACTACGATAGATTTCATTGATGCTGGAGCATGAGTGAATGCATACTCGAGTCCAGTAATTGATCCTAAGATTTCAGCAATGGCCATTACTATGTATGAAGGAATTTGCCAAGCTACGGAGATATTGTTAAATTTTTGACATGTTAAACACGGTTTTTTTGTGTAAGCGTAGTTGGGCCCAGTCGAATAGATCATATGTTGAACAAATGCTGCCCAGGTCATACCAATAGATGCAAAAAACGAAACCGAAAGTGATACGACGGATCGGGCTAATATTGATTTTAAGTCGTCGCAAAATAGGATAGATCAATTTGTCAAATATGAGAATGAGAATAAGCACAACGATTGCAGCAATATTCTGCAAAACATCATTAGATAGAGGACCTGAAATAAAATTCCCAAAATATCGTATATCAAACCAGTTTTATCGAGAATCCTAACAGAAACTGCAAACTTACCAACATCTATTTACGCAGCTTGCGATATAAAATTACTAAGTATATACTTGGGTCGAACAGGTCCAATAAAATGGAACAAATGCGAAAACACGACAAACACTCCATACTTGTTTTAGATCATTGATAAATCGATTCTGGTCTGATTCTGTCACTGTTTCTTTACCACCACCATTGATCGATAATAGGGACTCTTTCGCATAATCTAAAATGTGTTAATTATCGTGTTTTTTCCCAGTCTCCATCGTATTCGGATGGCTGTTATTGTCACACGATATGCACGGACTATCAGTGAACCATTCGGTGATGTATGAATGTATCGATGAAGACCAATCATCAGGACGAAGATACAGCCAGTGAACATGGTCATAGGTATAAGATAGGCGAGCCAGAAAGAATAATAGTTTTCGATATTAGTGCTAATGATGCATGATAATGCGCCAATATTGATCGCCCAATAGAACCAAGTGGACATTGATTGTAACGTTCTAAAAGAAAAACGGCACAATTCAAGAAAAAATAAAGTTGGTGATTATTTTCTGAACTCACATTTTCGGATCAATGATTTTCTTTTTGCCGTTAGTTACTGCAAAGAGAAATATAAAATTGACATGCTTTTACAAAAGAATCTAACAATTACCTTTAATAATAGATTTTTTTCTAGTATATTGTTGAGCCATCAGTGTACTGACATTGCTCTTCAAGCCACCTGTAGCAAGATCGATTATGATTATCGATATGATCAAACCGGAAAAGGCAATACCTGTGTGAATAGAGAACGAAATGCTTGTCAAGACCAGAACGAGAAGATCAAGCACATAGATTATACATGCAAAAACTATCGTTTTGTATTTGCCCCAGAATTGATCTGCTAGAATAGCACCAGCACTGGGTGTAAAAAAGCACAAGAATTGAAAGAATGTTGTCAATAATGTAGCAATACGATGTCCACGAGCGAAAGCACCCGGCTATTTATCATTGGGACCAGATATTGGAAATTGAATATAATTCTGAAAGGGACCCGAAAGTTCAATGAAGGCAAACCGTTCACAAAATTCGCAGACGACAATCAACCAAGCCGTCAATGGTATCTGATCAGAAATGTGTTCTAGTGTTGACAATTCTTCATCTGTTGGTTCCGTTTCATCGTTATCTTCTACTTGATTGATTATTTTCGTTTGGGTAACTTGCTCCGTATTCGATTCAACATCATCAATATTGCTCATTTTATGCTGCTTGTTTTGACGCGTGAGTTCGAATCAAAAGTACTATTCATGTATCGAAGATTGTGTATAACTCTTGTTGCAAACCATGGTTGAGATAAAGTACTTAAAATTCTCTCTTTGTCAAGCAACGCGCTAAATATCTCGTGTTCTTATCTTTGTTTTGTAAAGATAATTCGTTCGAAAAAAACTGCAGTAGTCATACGATCGTTTCATATTCTGCAATCTTGTCGGATAAACGGACAAAATACTGTCACAAAAGGTATTATGTAGTTTATCAAACATGAGTTACATAACATTTTCTCTTCTCTAATCAGAGCAGCGTACAAAACGAATCTAGATCGAGCTTTTGTTGTGTCAACTATATTACCTTTGTGTCGGTATCATTGCATAGATTATTCACACCTACGGCGACACCATACTATACTTTATCAACAGATTTATAGATCACTAATTTGATATTTCTAGGCGAAGACTCCGTTTTAGTCCTCTAGGTCTAATGTTTTTATTGATGGAAGCAAGTCGAAAGACTATTCATAGCCGTGTTTATATAGAGTAAATGATTCAATATTTCTTGACACTGATAATTGAATAATTTTTATTATTTGTTGCTGTGATTGTTCGTATTGAATATTCACTGAACTTCTATTGTCTCATACTTTTATTTTTTTTAATGATGCACATCTACTATTACTTGTACAACAACAGGTCTTTTCAGCTGCTGTCACATACATATCTTTCTCTCTTTCTTCCTGTCATATAGATGGTCCTCAGATCTTTCATTTTCTTTCTGTTTCATACACTGACATCCTAATCACTTCCTCTCTTATCTTGGTGCATTGTCATAAGGCTTTTATGCAATCATTTTGAGCCAAATACAATAAATTGACGAAAGAGGCATTTTCTAATTAAAAATGAAACCTGTCCTCAAAGGATAAGGATAACAGAGAAGTCGTCGTTATTAATCAAGCAATTGAACAAAGATTTTTGTATCCAGTTTCATTGAGGGTGTGGGTGTCTGGTGTAAGTGTGGGTGTGTGGGTGTGGGGTGTAGATGTGGGTGTGGGTGTGGCTATCAATAGCATAAACACCACCACCTGCTCAAAGGCATACCCACACTATCACCTGTTCAAACGCACATGCACACGCACACGCCCACACCCTCATATAAGAAGAACAATAAAGAAAAGCATAAAACTAAGGATCACTCCTCCTATATTAACTACAAAATCGTATTGATTATAATTATAAATGCTGGATTAAGTAGTCTTAGATTAATGTAAAGATAAAGCGTTGAAAATTCGGAGAAGCAATCGTTACCACTTGAGGCTTTGGGTGTGAGTAAGGTTGCCTTTCTCGTTGCTCTTTTTCCACACCCACAGTCATAGTCAAACAAAGCAGAAATACCCACACTCTAGTATCTATTTGATGATAGACTATTGAAATAATATGATATTATGAATATTTATTTGTTGAAATTAACTTGATTAATAAATCAAATATTCAGATTAAGAACCAAAGAAATTTGCATGAAACAAAATCATAGAATAATAAATATAAAATAAATGAGTTATGTTGTTTTATTTCTTCTGTTTCAAACGTTTTTCAATACCAAGCAGCCAACAACTAGCATTAACAATATAACGAGCTGTGCCTGCTGAATCCCATTTTCTGTACCGCTTAGCAAAGCCACAATCTAAACATAATCGTCCTTCTGTCGATGTCGCTGGCGGATCATATACGACAATACTGCTATTCCCATCAGTTGCAGTTGCTATTATGGTAAATTTTGTGCGACTTGCTGGTGTTAAATAGATGGGATGACAGATGGTGATACCCTCATATAAATTTTCTATCCCCGTAAAAATATCATGTTGACCAAAATGTCCTGTTTGTTGATGGTCATTCTCTTTGTATGCCAATGTTTTATCACCGTAGTAATCACCTTCGACAGTTATGTCAAATTTTGTGCTGAGAAATTGAGATACATGACACACGTATGATGTATTATCAGCAAATAAGAAAATAACTCCTCCAGACGAATGATATGTTATTAGAGCTGAGATGAATAATGGATTTTGAATTTGATTTGTACTAATAATCCATACGATTTGATGACTATTCGAAGACATTTCCGCTATACATTCATTTTCTGTTTTCACATGTTTCACCTGAAATCCTTTAACTTTTAATGCATCAATTGGTACTTTCATAGCTGTATCATTGAATTCCGAATCTATGTAAAATTGTGCAATTGAAATACTATATTCACTAAATGCATCATCTCGACCTAACTCATAAATTCTTCCTGTTGGATTATGATATTGATTATAGTCACTTGCATCGGTAATACTACTTCTACCTGCTACCTCTGTATAGAAGGTGGTCAGTAAACCTTTACGATTAGATTCTTCATTTTTAAATGATCCTACATGAGAAGATTGTTCATTCAATGCGTATGAGGACTTCTTTGCACGTGACTGTTCGTGAAATCTTGTTTGTTGAGCAGCATGATCAGATCGTGGCGAATGAAAATGATCCTGTTGAGATTGATTTTGAGATTTCTTGATTCAAAGTTTGTTTTTTGCCTGTGATATTCCTATAATTATTATAGAATAATGTACTTCTCTATTTGCCAATTCATTTTTACCTTTTAGAATATTTTGATTTACTGTCAGTGTATTGATTGTTTCGCCGTGAAAATATTTCTTTCGATATTCGAAAGTCGAATTACGACATTGCTGTTGATTCCAACAAGGAATTAAATAATTCTGTAAACCAGCATGTCAATAATAAAAGCGATGAGCAGGATCGGTCAAGTTAGAACAATTCATATCATATTTGCATTGAGGTACATCGTGTTTATTATGCGTAAATTGTATACTATGAGGCACATCATGAATATTTCGACATAATTCAAAGAAACGATACGGATATGAATAAGTTTGATTATGATTTAAGGATTTTTGGGGTGAATATTGATCAAGGCAATAATTCGAATCTTTACATGGTATTAGATGTTCCATTCGTTAATGTTCTTCTTTTTGACCGTTTTTCTTTCCTTCTGACTCTTTTTATGTCCCAGTCAAAGTCTTCCTATAAAATTCCTGATCGGTTGAGATATTAAACCAGGTGATTTGTGAGGTATAATCTGAAAGGAATGCCGAAGTATATAGGGTAAAAATCTGAACCCTCCTCCTCTCCCCCGCAGATCGTGACAGACAGCATCCAAATATCATCACAGGCCGTGACAAACACTCTGATATCGTGCCACCGACTGTACTGAGCGTTCTTGAAACATGAGCAAAGACAGTCTATCAAGAACGTTTTATCATAATGTGTGAAGTACGCCCTGATTGCAGTCATGGAAGTATAAGTAAAATGATGTTTATAAATGTGATATAGAATAGCTAAATTAAAAGAAACTCTTTTTGAATTCCAAAAACAGCTATATCGTGTTTCACATTTTAACCCTGAAGGGATTTCGCTAACAGCTTTCTTGTGGTTATCACTATTTTCATATACTTTCGATGCGACACCAATGCTTGCTGAATGGTTCGAAGAATTTTTACTCCTCACAACACTTCTATTCGTATATTGGGTGTGGATGTGGGGAGTGGGTGTGGATGTAGGATTGCATGAAGCGGAAAACAACACCCACACCCACACCCACTCACGCACACACATTCACACCCACACTCACACCCATACCCACACTCACACTCATACCTGAAAGAGCGCCCTTGAAAACCTATATTCCCGCAGTTTTCACGCAATAGAAATGTTCAAAAGTGAACTTCGAAAGCATGCAATTTCATGTCGTGGTAGTAATACTGATTGCCATCCGACTACAGAATACAGTATCTCAAGGTTTCCTTTCAATACGTCCGATTGGCCTAAAAATCTAGGAGAATAGGTTTTCAAGGGCGTTCTTTTAGATGAGGTATGTCTCAACTTTGAAATCAAAACTAAACTTTTCAGGTTTCTGAAAATTTTATCCAAAGTAGCTCATGCATAAACCAGAAAAGGTTTTGTTCGGGTCAAAGTAAAAAAGCAAATGTTCTGAAAATTGTTGCTAATAGCTATGGGTCAGTAGTACTTAGTTTCGAAGTGCGAGCTCATCGGTCGCTCATAAGCGATAGAAATCCTGGTCACAATATAGAGGGTATATCTAAGATCTATGAAATATCTCTATACTGCTTAACACGCCAAAAAGTGGTTTGGATTGTTCCAATATGTAGGGTATCTACGATAGTATATATCCACAAGATCTCATCACTAAGAACATTGCTGTTAAAAAATGATGACATATACAATCGATGGATAGTGCATTAAATGTCGTCATTTTTTACATGAAGGTGCCTCTATTATGATTTTTATAACTCACCAGGGGAGCGGTTCTACAAGCTGAAATTTTTGGCTTTTTCACAACTCACCTGGGGCTACATACAGGCAAAATTTCATTGAAATTCGTGATATCAGTTGAGCACATGTTTCATATTTTGGTCGTTTCTTTCGTGCAATGCCTCTTAGATAGCTATATAAACGCTCCATCAGTTGGTGACAGCTTTTTTGTTAATTGGAAATCTTTTTGTATCAAAAATAATTACGCTTCGACCTATTTCACTTTACACTAAAGAGTATGAAAAATAGAGTTGAGAAATATTTCTTGATACGGACATTTCTAAAAGATAAGATCAACTGTGCACAGGTGTATGTGCTAATCGAGTGACTGAGTACTAGTCCTTGATTTGAATAAGTATTTACTTATTTATCAAACAGTTATATATACTTTTTCGGTAAAAAGAACGAGAGGTTAGAAATATAAAAACGTGTTTTGTTGTCTTCCGTTTTTAATGTCAGTTTTATTCTATTTTCTGACTACAATAAAAAAAGAAGTCATTGAAAAGCTATAATAATAGTGTTAGTATAAAGTGAAGGTCATGTAAACCTTGTTTCACATAAAAAAGATAAGACTATTTAATACCTCACCTAGAGCGAGAAAGAAAAAAAAATACTTTTTATACTTTTTCATTGTTCTTATCTTTACCCTCTATATAAATATAAAATGTAATTAATATATGAAGACAATGTAGCTTTGAAAATAATTATGTATTTGTCTTTTTTGTATTTTATTTAGTTCAAAACTTTTTCATACACCAAAGCTATGTCGATAACAAATATTGCTGAGCAGACTGCTGCGCCAGTTGTTAGTGAAGCACCAACAGTTATAGAACGATGGGAGCGAGATTTTTCACAGACGAAAACTGAGGGTGTCACATATGATTACATTATTGTTGGTTCTGGCTCAGCAGGTGCTGTCATGGCTAATCGTCTGTCGGAACAACGTGATAAACGTGTTCTTCTAGTTGAAGCCGGATTTGTCGATACACACAGCAACATAGATATACCAGCTGCTTGGTGAGTAAAAGCTCTATAATGGTAAAATAATTATACCATCAAACACAGTTATAATTTCGAGTAAAATATTACTGAAGAAAAGTTTCAAGTTAAAAGAAAAAAGTGATTTGAAAAGTCAACTTCAAGAAATATAGTTAACAAGATTGCACAAACGTTCGTGCACTTCTTTCAATTGACGACATTTTGTGACTTACCGAGAAAAACATTTTTTTTTCTTTCTAGTGGTAATCTGCAGCGTATTGATATTGATTGGCAATATAAGACTACACCTCAACTTTATTCACACTTCGTCTGCATGAATCAACAAAG